CGGACTTTGGGTTGCGGCAGATTTCAATTTTAGTTTGGAAAATCAAATGCAATTGGGCCAAAAAATCAAATGAGGACCTGCTGCATTTTCTTCTTCAAGATTGGGCCGGACTTGCTCAAATAAATGAATGGAGAATTTGATGTTGCTGCAGATTTTCTCCATGTGGGCTGCAGATTTTAATTTGGAAAATCAAAACTTCATGGACCGGACTTGAGTGCTGCTGCAATTGGATTGTGATTTTCTTTTGAAAATCAAATGAATCATATGGGCCTCCTTTGTTGGGCTAGAGAAGAACAAAAAGCAAATTCAAAGGTGGAGATTGCTTTGCTTGGGGCTCAAGACAAATTCAATGGCTCATATTCATTGATGATTACTATAAATAGGGGTAGAGAGTGAGGGGTTAAGGGTGTGAAAATTTTTATAACTCCTTTTGGAGAGGAGGGCTACTCTTAATTGAGAAGGCCTTCTAAAATTGTAACTTTTTATTGCAATTAATAATAATAATTTTTTTCACCACTTTAAATTTTTCTCTTCTTCTCTTTGTTAGATGATGAAGACGAAGATAAAGATGGAGAATTATTTGAAGGTTTGCATTTCTTTTCTTTTTCTCTTTTATTGCTTATTAGTTTAGATTTATTTCTATGCTTGTAGTTAGATTTTATTTTCTTGTTAAATAGCTAAGAGGCTAGAACCCTCTTGCCTTAGATTTATTTCATGCTTATAGAGTATATTTATTTTCTTGCATTTAATTCTTATAATTTTATTTTATAGTTTAGATTTTACAATTTATTTTGTAGTTAGATTTTAATTTCTTACATTATTCACCTTGAGGCTAGAACCCTCTTGGGTTTAGTTTTTCTTTTTGTTTATTTTTATTTTGTTTGATTCGCCTTTAGGCTAGAACCCTTTAGGGAATCACCCTTTTCTAAGAAGTGGGTTCAATTTTAGATTATCCATATCTATAATTGAATCCATCTTCTTTAATTTCTTGCATTTTCTTTTATTCTAGAATTTTGTTCTTCATTCTTGATTTTTTATTTGTTTCTTGATTTTATTCATTTTTCCTTCTCACCTTATTGATCATACTCATTCTTTTTCAAATCCACTCTCACTTACACTTTGCACCTATTCACACACAATTTTCACTATCTCAATCTCTTCACAATCACATTCACTCATCAATCTTATTTTTCACGCACACAACATAAGAACCGATTTATTCACTCATCAATCTTATTTTTCACGCACACAACATAAGAACCGATTTTATATTTTCTCCTACAAAACACCTTCCTCGTGGGATCGATATCTTAAATACTATAACTTGACATGGTTGTGCACTTACAACCTTTTTGGTACATGTTTATGCCGCACCACTCGCGCCAGTGGTTAGTGTCGCCACTAGGGTTAGTTTGTAGGGCTAACGTAAAGTGTGTACATCACTTTGGTCAGTGGGAATTTAATTCGTCACCCGAGTTTTGCTTGAGTTCGGATCAGGCAGAAAATAGTTTACGTGTAGTCGCATGTGTAGCGGGATTGGGTGCATGTAGGAGATTTATGAACAGTCAGTTATCCGATGATATGAATGTTGACTTTGTGTGGGAAGTGGACCAGTGACCTGTTATAGGATGGTTAGTTGTATGAAGTAGATTACTGGTTAATTTGATATTCTTCTGATCATTATTATAGTAGTGAATTCCATTTAAATTATTAGAATTTTAATGCCATGTTTCTATTATTATTATTGTCATAGCATGGGTCGTTCGACCGTTTCATTCTTCCATGTAGGATCTTGCTGTGTGTCATGCATGCTGACGTATATCTATTTTCTCTGGTGCGCGTCAGACTTAGGAGACGGACAGGTCCGGTTCGATGATGCAGCAGAGCCGATGTATGCCTAGCCTAAGTGTCTTTTCGATGGAGTAGAAGAACAAACTGAAGCGTAATGGTTTTCTTCTGTAGTAATTGTGGAACATTAGAACTCTTTTATTGTACGTTTCTTTAGTTGATGATGAATTTAGTATTTTTAGCAGTACTTTCTTTTATTATGGACTATGTATTTTTATATTCCTAGTTGGATTGTTTTTGTAATAAGGGTATGTTTGACCCATAATTTTATATCTATGATGATTTACTTTTGAAGATATATCTATTTCTTATTCTGGGTTTTTATTATATTCTTGCTATTGTGATCGGGGACCTATGACTGATATTCTTGTGTTTGACACTTAGCGTATTAGATTGAAAAGAAAAGAAAAAGAAATAAAAAATTTAGTGTATATTTCTCCTCAATCTAATACGTCGTGGGCTTGTTTATGTTCTGATTCCCGGGTATTTTGGGAAGCGGGGCGTGACAGATATAAACTATGAGACAAAGCCGATATAGAAATATGATAAGCAATGAGCATAAGAATAATATGTCAAGTCAAACACAAACACACAATATGATCATGGAGTTCGGTCACCCTCGACCTACGTCTCCGTTGCTCACTCACGAGGATAATCTTCACTATCACAACCGATTTTTAACGTTCACCAAAAATATTTACAACTCACACAATCGATTTTCTAGCTCACCGAAAACTTTCACAAATTTCACAAATGCAATCACACAATACACCATCTAAGTGTTAGCCTCTCATGTATCACCTTCCTCAAGTGCTTGGATTTACTACGTCTTCCTAGGCTTTACAACCGACGCCACTCCTCTCGGAATTGACCCCGTCTCTCACCACACACTCTTCTCGGCGTACTTGTATATTACAATGTGATTTCACAAATAATCTCAAATAAAATTTGTTTTGTTCTCTAACAAGATGAGAACTCAATTAAGCTCACACTCAATGTTACAACTACCACAACTCAAATATACAATATGTGAAAATACTAAAAGCTCAAGTGAGTTATGTGTGTAAACAATGAGTATAATGAAATACAATCTTAATATAAAAACTAGCTTAATAAAATTGATAATCAACAAATAAATATATAAAGCTAGAATTGAGTTAGGAAAAACTTCTCTGCAAAAAGAGTGATGGAGATGAGAAATTGAAGCCCAAACAAGAATGAATAATCTCCTCTTCCTCTTGTGAAAACCTCTTCACATAATCACTTAAAAAATAAAACTCAAAACACCCTTAAACTCTTGTAAACTTATTTTTAATTTTTTTAAGTGAGTTTAGAAGTTTGAGGGTAAGGGGTATATATAGATTCACAAAACAAACCCTAAAAATAAAAAAATAAAAATAACAAAATCTAAAAAATAGTTGTTACTGTACAACGACCATATCATCAGTCGACTGATTACATGTGTTAGTCGATTGATGCCTGCATCGGTCAACCGATACGTTATTAGTCGACTGATGCGTTATCAGTCGACTGAGCAGACGAAAACCGCTATCTGCGCTTCACTTCATCAGTCGACTGATCACTGTAGTGAGTCGATTGATAACTTGCACACAGTCTGTTATGAACAAAAAAAATTAATTTCAAACCCCTTTTAAAAATAGCAAATAAATTTTAAAAATTATAAAACTTTGGAAAATATTTATAAACATGTTACAAAAATAATTTTTCAAATTTCATTTCCTATTTGTTGAAAACTCATCATTTTGTAAATTAAATTGGTCAAAATACGAAATCTCAAAAACACATGATTTTGACAAAATGATTTTAAGCAAGTTTTGAAACTTCTTTTGAAAGAACTAATATACTTTATAAAAGATGTAAAATGATATAAATGAGTCTTTTAATCCGTAAACACATATTGTGCAAATAAACATGATTTCATTGATTTAAAATTGTTAAAGCTTGATTTTGTTGAAATCATTTTAAGCCCATACAAACATGAAACAAATATGTGTGTATATATAATTATATCTATTTGTTTCATATTTATGTGGCTAAACTTGAAGGCAATGAAAACAATGTGTGTGAATAATTTGAGCTCTAAGTATAAACACACAAAGTATAAACTAAAACTACAAAACTATTTACCCAAGCTATAGGTCTTCAATGTAGCTCATCTTGGTTGCGGATGAAGCTTGATCTTTTATTTGACTTTGAATTCATCATTGCTTCACTCTGATATCCGCCAACCTCCTTTGAATATGTCATCGTTAAGCTCAATTCCATCCAACCTCCAACAGATGATCTTTGTGTAGGATACCTAACAATCAAATATAAACGCTCGATAAATATTATTAGGAATTGTTTGTTAATCATCAAAACAAGATTAGATAGTAGGCTCATAAACATGAGACCTATCAGAGGTATCAAAGTGAGACGTGATTAAAACTTTATGGTACAAAACTGTTGAAGAAAGTGATATAGAATTAAACTTTTGCGGCCCCAAAGTGAAAATAGCTACCAAATAACAAAAAGGTTCTTTTTCTATATTAATCCCTTAAATCTTTCATATTTTGAAATCACAAGTGTTAGAGAAAGTGATATAGATTTGAACTACGGGGGTAGCAAGTGAAAATATCTACCAAATAACAAGAGGCTTCTTTTTTTTTATTACTAGTTGGATTGCACGTGCAATGCACGTGGTAAATTTTTTTATCATTTATTATAAAATTTTATATTTATTTAAGATTTGTTATTAAATTATTGAATGTAAGCAATGCGTCAAACATATGACATAAAATAAAGTCATTGGACCTTATGCGACGTCAAACCGAATTAAGTTGAAATCTTTTAGACATTTGGATATAAGAACTAAGAATCACACTAATAATCTCATTGAATGAATGAGATATTTGGATTGAACATTAAATCTTTTGTGTCCTATAACAAAATAATATGAGCGACATTCAAGATAGAATACAATAGAATTTGTTCAGCAAGCGCAATATGTTTTCAAGAAAATACAGGTCAAGTACGGACCACCTTATATTCAACATAGACAATTGTTTAGCATCGGTTAATCACTATGAAGTCAAGTTCTTCTCATGTATGAATAGCTTCCACCATGTCTTCTTAAGAGAAAGAATTGAGTCTTGAAAGAAGACCCCAACCGAGCAATACATTCTTTAAAAAAATTGGGTGATTGCAATCTACTTACAGATAATCATCAAAATCCCCAGCCAAAGAATAAAATGAAGAGTATCTCTCATTACATCACAACAAAAAAATATAAAACCTCCTAACTGTATACATCAAAAACCTATCAAAACAACTCCTAACATACTCTCCTAACATACTCATATCCAAAAAATAGAACATTAGCAACATTTAGCAACAAAATATATAGCTTAAAAAACATCTCCATTCATCAAAGACCTGAACTCAAGTAAATAGCATCAAATTGTTGATAACCTAGCAGCTCCCCATGTCTCTTACTGTTTCGTCATGGTTCATAGGAAAGGCTAAAATAATAAGAAGGAAATATCAAGACATATAACATTCTAAGCACAAGTTAAAGGAACATGAAACAGAGATGCATAGGGAATTAGAGCAGATCACCTAAGTACTGATTGAATCATTGATAATGAACAAAGCAATATAGAAATCAATCTCTCCTATAAGGAACATTCTTTTTAAACAAATACCCATACATGTACAATATTTCTTACATTATAAAGTCTACCAACATTTCTTACATTAACATATATAATATTTGTTATGCTATAGAGTCTATCAATAGAATAATTAAGCTAATAGTCACAAATTCGTTTTGGCTAACTATCATTCTCTAAGTTATCATATGACTTGTAGCCTGTAAGCTTAATAATTTCCTTTAGCAATTGCATTATCATTTTTTCTATGTATCATGAAATTAGTACTTTCCTCATAGTAATTCCAATTGGCATTTGAGCTCATATTTGCTTACATGAATTTAGATATTGCAAGATATTTGATAATGTCCCATTTAGTAAAAGTTTACTCTCTGATAGAAATTTAGAAATTTCAGAATCTTTAGTATATAACAATTGAGTCAATTATAATTATTATTAAACAGCTAAAAAAGGAAAGGAAAAAAACAAATAAAGTTCTCTAGAAAAAATATATTAAACTACTATATCTACTTATAGTTCTAACATATGAGCGAAAGGGATATAGCCTATGATGATTTGATGAAGATAAAAAAAGGTTAAATTAATTTTTTTAAGCCGAGCCCAAGGTATTTAATTAGTTTTTACATCTAAAAATTTTTTCCTAATTTTTTTAAAATTAGATATAAGGTATCCAATTAAAAATGCTAGTCCAAAAATATGATTTAGTAAAGGATTTTTATCGACAAAATATTTAATTTGCCTTTGTCAGGTTGAATAGAGCGTGGCCCCCTAAGTTTTGCTCACAAGAAAAAAAGCATTAACATCATTAAAAATAATCTTATAGGATATAATTATTGTTCTCGAGCCTTGATAGAAGGAAACTAAAATAAAACAAAAGGTTATTTGCACTTTAGTATCACAAAGTTTATACCAATTGAACTTCAATACCCCAAACTTACTACATATGTGAGCTCAATTTCTTTGACATCTGTCAACTACTACTGGCCTACTGTTATGTGAGTCTAAAATACCTTTTTAAAAGGAAAAACGTTATTGGAAAATAGGAGGTTGAACTAAACAAGTCGGATCCATATCTATATGGGTCAGATGCAGATTCTACTATGTAGTTTATGGTGGCTTTAGGTCAAAACAGTCAGGAAGCCGGAATGATTAGTCAAAGTCCTAAATGACCATAAAATTGATATCAAGAGGAGTAGCATCGGTAGTAAAGCCTAATGAGAGATAGTAAAGCCGAACACTTGACGGAGACGACATGTGAGAGACCAACACTTGAGGTTGTAGATTGTGATTGCAATAGTGTGAGTTGTGGAAGTCTTTTCATGTGTTGCAGAAGTACTTTCCATGTGCATCAATGTTCAGCTGGAGATCTTTCTACATAAAATGATACGAACTATACACCTTACTGTTATATGAACAATACAAAATGTAGGGAATACACCTGGCATTCAAGTTGTGTTCTCTGGGATAAAGTAAACAAACTAAAACTTGAGGAACTCCAGCATTCCAATTTTCCAAAGCACTCGCTTTTCCTTTCTGTTCAATTTTCCTCTCTTTGGTTCCTCTATTATATATTACAGTGTACAATATAGTAATATCATATCCTATTATTAGAAAATACTTCTGGTGAAAGCACCCCCAAAATGTGTTTGCACTTCAAAGTAGGACTCATGCTTGTGGATGTGGAATTTATACAACACAAAGGGCATCAAGTACTATGGATTAGACATGTATAGATTAAAGAAGGCCTGTAGCTTGAGTTTGTGTTGTTTCAGTTGGAACACCTAAAACTATTGTCTAAGGATTCAAAATCCTTAGAATAGATTTGTGTAGTGATATGGCCAAATATATAGCCAAAGATGTAAAACGCATGTGCCTTTGTTCCTACATAAAAATGACAATGAAGGAAGTAACAAATTTCTTACCAAAACTTTAACCCTTGTTATGGATTTAGATTTCGAGTCAATAACATAGATTTCTTCAAAATCAAGCACAAACTCTGAATCATTTGCGCGTCTATTTCTGTAATGCTTTGTTAAGAAAACCTATAATAGATGGCAAACAATATGAGATAGGTGTGGCATTAAGTACATAAATATAGGAAAACATAAAGCGCCAGAATTTACCTTCATTATCTCACTCTCAGTTTTATACAATGGATCTCTAGGCGCATCAATAGGCGGCTCTGTGACATTATAGCATCCAAAATCAGTTTTTGAACACCTAATATACTGTATAAGAGAAAGAAATAACACCTTTTATGTTATGAAAAATCCTTGCATACAAAATGGTAAATAACAAAATATCCTCTTCTTACAAGAAACTACTCATCTAAAAAGATTATAAAAAGACCCCCATACACTATCATTAATGCAACCGTTATTTCTTAACGTTGATTAACTCTACTTGTATGGACAGTCATGCATCTCTACCATTTGAAAGCATTTTCTCTGCACCTCCATCGTCAAAACCATTATAATAATCTAGATCTTGATTTTGTTACTTATCTCAAATACTTCCTGCAATTCATTTTGGATTCAATTGCACTCTTATGACTTCTTCAATTCCACATGAAACTTTATAAGATGATGAAGTATGTATGGGAAAAAACAAATAATAAGCAAAAGGCTTTAATGTATGATGTTTTTTTCTTTTTCTTTTTTAATTTGGAGCTTCCTCCTCATAAAACAAGACTTTTCCCTTTTTTTTCTTTTTGCGTCTATACATATGAGAGAAGAAACCAGTAACATAATCGCTGCAATAAGGACAAATAAAATCCCAGGAAAAACATTCCTTTTCCTCTTTCTATTATTATCAATGACTTTCTGAATGTAAGTTCTCTTTTGATCTACATTCAACTGATTATATTTGGTTTTTCTACTCTCATGGATTAGAATGTGTTCATCTATAAAAAAAAATAATGAAATATACTATTGATAAACACATATACACAAAACAATAATAATATATATTTATGTTTATTTCAAACCTTGGTTTGAAGTCATTTGGAAGAATGTGCTCTTATGCAAATGTATGGTGATTATGCAATCCAAGAATTAGAATGTAAATTTCTACAAGGAAAAGAAAATTTAATGCATTAAATTATTAATTTTATTTAACATAAGAAGGGCAATGAATATAATTTGAGAGAATAAGTATATTTTAATTGATATTCAATAGTACTTGATGTTTTTTCTTGAGAAATTTGGTACACTACATGCATCATTAATCACAAATAAAGAGAAAAGAAAAGAAAGTTGCTTCACTCACCTGGATCACCCACAACCTTAGAAATGTTTTCAAGAAACACAACGCAAATCCAACCAAGTAATGTTAAATTATTTAATCTAGACGTAAAAGTGTATTACAAAAGTGCACATCATTTCACACATTGTTTTATTTAATCTAGACGTAAAAGTGTATTACAAAAGTGCACATCATTTCACACATTGTTTTGAAAAGATGTTACTAAACATAGGAGGCTTAAGTGTATTACAAAAGTGCACATCATTTCACACATTGTTTTGAAAAGATGTTACTAAACATAGGAGGCTTATTAGATATGCACCAAAATACTATTAATGAGGATTATATTTCATGTGCACGCTACGTGTGTATGTACATAATTCATTCTTGAGGTTAAAAAATGATGAAAAGTTAGAGAGATGGATGAATAAGTGGGGTGTTCAAGATGGTGGTGGTTAATAGGATTAGTTAAGCAGTACGTAGGACATACCTTTTAATGATCTGTATCTATGTGTACATTATATGGATATTTCATGGAATTATTTGAATTTAAGACTTACAAACTTATGTCGAAAGTATTGAACATGCTAACATTACAAACTTATGGTGAAAATGGACCTTAATGTGGGGGTAGCCCTATGTATTCTCATCAACTAACAAACGGTAGAATCCTCTATACAAACTCTGCTAGCAGAGGATCTATCACAAATAGCAGTAAGATCAATTGAGAAGCTAGAGAACCATAAAGAACACCCGCACATGTATGATTAGATAGTTACTTCTTGCATAAGTAAGATAGAAATCAACTTTTTCTTTAGAGGAAAATACTAAGAACTTCTCCAAAATCAACATAAAAAATAAACTTAAGAATATAAAAATTAGATATAAATCTATGATTAAATTTTTTCGCCAAATATCCTTAAATCAATTTTTCGCTAGATATAACTTTATTATTAATTTTCGCTAGATGACATATTTTCCTATTTGTGTGCATTATACCTCTTGTTTTTCTTCTACATGACTCGTGCCCATTATTGCCTCTTGCAATTTATGATATCAAAAACTTAAGTTGCCAAATTTACTGGCTGTAGAGATTCACTTGTACTATTTATTTTGTCAGCTCAGAGCTAAATGCTTGATCTAGGAGATGTTCCTAATGAAATTGTAATTTAGAAAATTTAAAACTAACTCCTGACTGTGTTTGAGGGAATATATTTATTAATAATCTGTATGTAACACTCTGTCATTCTTTTATAGTGACAGGAAATTGTACTAAATTTTATTATTTCTTTATTATAGCATGACTATTAATTGATGCATGATATACACAATATCATAGGTGAGCCGGAGTTATTCTATAATAATTTTTGGGTGAAATATACTGAAGCTTGTTTAGCTGAACAAAAACATTTATAACCCTACACAATGCTTCAACAAAACAGACGCTATTACTATCTGCCATTGACATCCTCTATAAATACAGACGCTATTATTATCTGCCCTTGACATCCTCAACAAAACATGTATTATTATCAGGCTTTAAGATGCAAGTATGTCATAGTTAAATGTGCTAATATGAAGAAAAAAATGCAATTGACAAGATATAATTATATGGCAATAATTATTGATTGCAAAATCGCCAATGAAATCTGTCAAAGATAAATGATCACGAGATTATGTTGATGGTAATACATTAGTGATTTTCCTTCCTTCAAAAACAGCAATTATGCCAGAAGATATAGCTTGTCTCCTTTTCTGACATCTAAATAGCATTATTGGCAGACATACAAAGTATTTGTTCATTGCAATTGGAAACAAAGAATAAAATAAACTATTGCGATCTAGGAATATGGTTCCAAAACCAAAGTTTCCTATATAGCCTAGTAGAAGATAACATTTCCCAGTGGTATGAGTTCAGGTGTCAAGATTTTCCATCATCAATTAAGAAATAACCTATTTCACTTTCCAGCTTTTATTCATAACCAACTTCCGTGGATCAAAATAAACATGAAAAGTAGTTTTTCTATCCAAAGGGGAACTATGCCAATAAACAAATTGACCTTGAATTATAATTATAAGAATTATTACATGGCTAACAGTGCAACAAACAGAGATACAAGCTCAAAATGCTCCACATATCTTTGCAGTGTGCTTAGCTTAGCATCCTACTCATGTCAGAGCCACATCAATTTAAGTTTTTTCACTCACTAATATCTCTAACTATCTAATACATAATTCAAATTGCTTCAAGACTTCTAATCAAATACGTCTACCATACCATCTATAACTCCTACAAATTAAATACACAGTCAAAGCTCAAACCAAAAACTCAATTTATATTAGGATGGGAAAGTTAGCATAGTACATAATTTCATCTTCTTCCGAGGCTTGAATTTGCCCAAATATTTATTAGCAAAAGTGCTTTCATCTATAATTCTATTAGAATTTTGAGAAAATGTTTCAACATGAGCCAATTTGATGTGATTTTGATTGATAAATTGAAATTTAAAGCTAGTTCTTTCTTTTGAATGGAATAACCTACTATGAGAATATAGGAGCGTTATTTTTTTTCTTTACTTGCAATTTTTATTGATATACTGGGATCGAAGTTCTTTCATTTGAATGAAATAACCAACTTCGAGAATATAGTAGCTTTCTTTTTTCAATTGGTTTGTATCAATTGAGATTTTTATTTATGTACTGATATTGAAGTTAGTTCCTTGTTTTGACCGGAATAATACGAGATTATAGTACATTTATTTTTTTCATGTTGATTTTATTAATTCAAATAGTTTGTGGGTTTTGTAATATTAGGACACTCAACTCAAACTATGTGAAAATTAACAAGTATTTAGCATTTTTCTTTTTGGAGCATTTTTATCTCTCACTAAATTTGACTACGTGCCTTGCACATACACTATGCTATTGCTATTCTAAAAGTGTGAAGGATGTTAAAACTTTTTTAGCCATGAAGCCCTCTAAATTACACGTGTAATCCCAAAATAGCCTTCTTGACATTTTTTAGCCAAATGGGTTTAGGGACAAGGAACATTGACTTGTAACTCGCTTAGTCCAATCTCTCTTTTTTTATTTTCAAAATCATGTCGAGCATTATAATTTATAAGTATTAAAGTTAAGAATTTCCTTCAAATAGAGTTGGGGCATGTTAGATTTTGAACATTGGTTTATACAAAATGAACATTTCCATGATCGAATACTAAATAGATTCAATAATAAACTTAATGGTAATTACAAATACTCTTTATTCTATTCTCAGATTGTTGATTAGACATGATAACATCCTCTAATACTTTAAAAACGCCATCATTTTAATTTCAAATTTTCCAGGCATGTGATATTATGTTACCTACAGTGCGGCGGGTAATAGTTATACTTATATATGCTAAGACTCCCCCTATTCTTCTCCATTTTCTTTATCATTCTTTCCTAGCATATATCTAACCACATAGATAACAATATCAGCCTATGTGAAAGTATCTATGAAACTGAACTATGTAAAAATAGCACAAACAAACACATGTTATGAAGAGGAACTGAAATGGGCTGAAATGGGCTGAAATTGAAATTTACCTTTACTGATAAGTAACTTCTCAGCCTTTCGCTACGTGGCGACGAAGCAGGATTAGCTAAATCATCCACAAATAAAACTTTAGGAACGGTATAATGTGTGCATTAAAACAAGTAAAGAAAATACAGAGAAATTGTTATCTAATTATATATTAAAATATTTATGTATGATCCAATTATAACCTTAAATATCCAGCTCCAATTACTCAAATTACTCAATTTACAGAGCGAAATTCTCAAAAGGTATCAAATTCAAAAAATTAAAGGATTTAGAGGGGATTAACCAAAAAAAGCTCAAAAAATCCTCTCAAATATGAAACACCATGCTATCTAATTATCCATAATTTATTAATTCTTCAGAATTTATAATGGTGGACCCACTAATAACTCTCGGCAGTGACTGCGTATGGCAGAAAAGGGAAAGAACACAAAGTAAGAACAATCGAAAATCGCCTGGGAACATCCATTTATTTCATGAATACAAGAATACAATATATAAAAGTAAAAAAGACTGGAAAAAGATTCAAAAACAGGAAATCCCAAGATTCAGTTTCAGTACCTCATTCAAATTTTAATAAATTAAATGATGACTGTCTATTAAAAAACTATGGCACCAACCTACCATTCACAGCCCCTTGCCCCCCCCCCCTCAAACAAAGTCAAAAAGAAAGGGGAAAAAACTTACTTGCTGCTTCTAGATATCATACAAGCAACCAACCAGCAAAAATGGAAAATAAATAAATAAAAACAAATTCAAACTACAATTATATTTGTGTGGGTGTGCGCGTGCATATTGTGGTCATGCATGGTGTGTGGTCCAAGATTTTGTAACTTTTATGGATTAACCTCCAACTAACACATCAAATCTTTAATCCCAGTAACACAACCAAATTCAACAAATCAACAACTTTAATTGCCAACAATCAACTAATGAAATATAGACCCTAATCAACTATTTGTCCTAAACAAGCCTCGCTTTCTATGCCTAAACATCTCATCTCCAAGAAATAATTCAAATTAATATAAAAAACACCAGAAAATATATGGAGTGCTTAGAGGAAATTACATGGATCTTGGGTTTGGAATACCTTGTTAGATATCAAGGATAGATTTCATGAAGGCTTTGTGGTGGAGGATGGTTTGGTTAAGTGGGAAGTACTTGTTCTGGATACTTTTCATTTCAAAGTGCTTATAAATTTATATCTGAACAAAATGATGAAGTGGAATGGTTTCGTTTAACCTGGGGAAGAGATGGTAGTTCGAAGTATTCCTTCATTGCCTGGCTTGTTGCTGTTGTTAAAATTAGAACAAAGGAGTGGATGATGAGAGTAGGGATCCTTGAAGAGATGAGATGAGCACTGTGTGCTGATGGAAGTGAAAACAAAGATCATCTCTTCTTTCTCCTAACTCTCAAGAACTGATTTGTGCTCTGTTGCAGAAGATGAAACTAAGAACTCCAATCAGAGATTGGACTCAGTTTATAATTTGCTTCCAGAAGCTGGTTAAGGGGGAAAGTACTGGAAGTTGTGTCAAGAGATGCTTGTTTTTAGCTGCCATCTATAGACTTTGGCAAGAAAGAAATTCAAAACGTTATAAGAAACAAGCTCATATTCCTCATTATATCACTCAACAATGTATATCAGATGCTAAATGCAAGTATAGCTCTGTTCAGAAGTGAGGAATTATAGGATTTGATAGAATTCTGGATTTGTTTGCTTGGTACTCTCTTGTGTGGTTAAGAGGGGAATTTCTAGTTCTTAAGTTGGTTTTGAAGTAAATCTGGTTCATGGTCCAAGGAGTAGCCTATGTATGTTGAAGTGTTTGAAGCCATGGACAAGCTATGCATAACTGGAAGTTGTGAAGTAATATGGTGCTATGCTTTTTTGTAAATAGAGTACCAGATAGTAGAGGTGAGAATTTCGGGGTTAGTTTGTTTGTTTTTTTTTTTTTTTTTGGTTTTGAGGATTTGAGTTTATATTAGTTTATGTATAGGAACTACTTGCACATTTTTTATAAAGGTTGTGAGTGGTTCTTGTAAACCTGGGTTAGCCTGGGTCCATTTGTAAAGGTTTGATTGAGGAATACAAAAATTACTTACCAGAAAATACAAATCCTATGAAAATCCTCAAAGGAAATTCATCTTTAGTTCGATCAGTGCATCCAAATTTAACAACATTAGCTCCACAATCAATTCAAATAAATACAACTCTAATCCTTCAACTCTAAATTACAAAAATGAAACTGACACAGGAGCAAGATGGAGACTTGAAGGCCCTAATTCGGACAACCCTTGACCTATTGTTGAATTAGAACAAAGTGAGATGATGGCTAATTAGAAGAAAATTAAATAAAATTTTTATTTAAAATTAAAACAAAATGAAAGGAATGAAGAACAAAAAAGTGAGATGGTAAATTGAGCAAATAAAATTTAGAAATACATTTTTCAATGAAATTCCTTCCTGATTCTAACCGATGCCAAAATTCTGACAACTGAGAAGATGATGGCAGAGGCGTAGCGTTGATGATTAGGGCAATAACACTCTCTTTGGAAATTGCTGGCTTAAGATCGGAGGAGATGGGCTGAGAAGAAGGGTAACGGATCTTTGGTGGGCGGAGAGAAAGGCGTAACCTACGGAAACCTTTGGCTAATTTGGGGAGGTGACGGAAGATCGGAGGGGAAGCTTTGATGATGACTGAGAAGAACCGAGAAATCATCTTGGTGGAGGTAACGGAAGATCAAGGAGACGACGTAACCGATGAAGGATTAGGGCGCAACCGAACCGATGGAAGGGTGAAGTGGTTTATGAAATCAGGATATGTTTGATAATTAAATTTGGTGGAAGGCTATTTTGGGGAGGGTAAAGTTTTTTTGGAACTCCCTCTTTTAAAGGGTAGATAGATAATAGTCCCTTAAATCTCTCATATAATGAATTCGTCCTTCAAACCATCGAATTTGCTACTAGGTCTTCTAATTCTTAAACTATTTTGAAATTAGTCCATGAAATCAGTGAAATTGCCATCGGATCCCCCTGATGCTCAAGTTTATCTTAAAATTAGTGTTTCAAATTAAGAGTAGCAGTTAACAATTAGATGGATCTATTTGGAACACTAATTAATTATGAGAAATGAGGGCCCAATAGAAATTTCAACGCCCACAAACTCCGCGTATCCCGCACGTGCAACGGACGTGCCTATCCTCACGGGTGACTACGAAAGGCCCCCGCGTCTCTCGCATCTCACCTCGCTCGATCAAACTTATCCCTTGCCTTCTTCTCCGTTTCAAATCATGGCCGACTCCAACGGCAAACCCCACGCCCTTCTCATCGCCTACCCCCTCCAAGGCCACGTCATCCCGGTCGCGCCGTCCACCTGCCCTCAGCCTCGCTGCACGGCAATCACCGTGACCTGTCGTCAACACCGAGTCCATCCACCACCGCACTCTTTCCGCCACAACTCCACGGTCGACGTCGTTCTCCGAGCGAGATCATAGTCCTTTCTGCGTCCGCTACGAGTCAGTTAGCGCTGGGCTGCCCGTCAGAGCTCGACGCGCTCCGCTCTACGGCGACGAGTTCAACCAGCTCGCTCCTCAGACAGCATCGGGGGCCATGTTGAGGCTCTTGGAGCAGGCTGGTGATGGGCGCACGCCCGTCACGTTGCGTGAAGCGATACGCTTTTTTGTGTGGCACACACGATTGGCGAAGAAGCTCGGGCTGGCCTTAACGTTGTGCGTTTTGGACGGAGCCAGCGCTTGTGTTCTCTTTGTATTATCACATCCATCTGCTAAGGCAACATGGGCACTTTGACTCTTCGAATGGCAGTGAGTACTATTTTTTACCGAGTAAGAATTTTATCATAATATTTTTAAAATAAGAATTGTGGTGATATATATTATTTACGGGTGATTAGAGGGTTGGATGATCAGCAAAGTTAGTTTAAAAATTACACTTCTTCTATTTATAGTGTAGATTACCTCTCTCTATAGAGTTCTTATAGGATCCATACCCTCTCTTTTGACCTTGGAGGATCTATCTGCCAAAAACGATTTCATTTTTTAGATAATGAGGCTAAAAGAGTCTTTTTTTTAAGGATGAGGTGTCACACACAACCCTACGTACCCTGGCCTGTCTATAGAGGCAAAATTTTTTGACTAGTGGGTCTACATATCAGCAATATCAACACTAGACAGATAGTGAGTCCGAACAAGGGTAGTAAAGTCAAAAAAATTGTTGGTTTAGTACAAATCGTGTTAGAGGCGATATTCTATTCAATATAACCAACGATACGTCTTTATGAACATATATATTAACGCTCTAGTTTTAAAGACGTATTACAAGGTCTTTCTTAAGAGGAAACCTTCTTGTAGCAAGTGTCAAGGTTGGATAAGAAACATTCTTCAATTGCATTAAAGTTTTTCCTTTTGTATTATATATAGTTAGCGAGGACCGCTAGCCACAATTACGAGTGGGCCTCACTAACACTATGGCAGGGACAACATATGTCCATACAGTGCCCCTACAGGGGCACATGCCCATGCCACGGCTGCGAGTTAGCTCACTCGCGGTTGTGGCTAGACTTTGTTTTTTTACTCAGAAGGAATCTTTTGTGCTTAGCAAAACTCACCTTAACGTGGTTAAGTCCTTAACTAGGATAGAATTGGTCTCGTTAAGAGGCTGCCAAATCCTATTCTAGTTAAAAAAAAAAGAAAGTAATTTGAATTAAAGAGTTTGGGTGACGATTGAGCCATTAGTTGTTTGCCAAACAAAGTATTATTCCTATCCATGTTAGCAACCACTAATTTGGTTTAGGAGAAGTTGTCAAACATACCCTTATATTTTATCTTATGAGTTTTTTTTTTAAAGACTGCATTTTAAAAAAAAAAATAGCAAAATCGTCCCTTTTGTGAATTAATTAAGGGGCTGTTTGGTTCGCTATTATAAGGGGTGGAAAACTCAGAAAACCCCTCCACGTCAGATTTTTAGCCCTCCACGTTAGCTTTTTTGTTTCCGTCCATTTCTTTGTGCCGCTTTGGTTCGCTCGAATGGAAGAGGGAAAACTCTGCTGAAATCGCCGCCAACTAAGATTTTTTTTCCTCTCCGATTTCCTTCCTCAACCAAGTGAAATTGATGAAAACTCTGCCACGTCAGATTTTTTTCCTTCTCTGCTTTGTTTACAAAAGTTTTTCTTTTTTTTCTATGCGAACCAAACACAAGAAAAATAAATACATTGGTTTCCCACCATTTTTTATGTGCGAACCAAAGCAAAACAATCTATTTCTTGGAAAAGTTTAAAAAACTCAAAACTTGTGTTTCTTTACATGGAATTGCATTTCTCTATATCAAGGAAACGAACCAAAGAGGCGCAAATTAAGTGACCAAAAGAGGTCGTAAATTAAGTCATCATGAGTGGCCAAAAGAGGTCAATTTTAAAAAATATAATCTTTAAAATACATGGGATTACTAGTCCATTGCATATAGACGTCGTAAATTAAGTGACCGTTAAATACACGAGAGTATTGGTCCCGTGTATTTTAAAGAATATATATATTTTGCAAAACCGACCTATTTTGGTCACCATGATGTTGTAGTCAAAAAAGGTCGATTTTGCTAATTTATTCACAAAAAGAACGATTTTGCTAATAATTTTTTAATTAAAAAGGTCTTTTTTTAAAATTTCTCCTGTAGTACAAGATTTTTTTTCCGTTAACTTCATCGAAAAACTTCAATAGAACAAGTAGTTTGTTACCTAACCATAATGCATGAATTGAAGGAATAAATATTCTAACAGAACTCGCATAAAAATAAGTTATTTGGTGTCATTCATGCAGAAGTTAAGGGAGGAGAATTTAATTAGAGTTTCTAATTGTCCTTAAGCGAGGTTCAGAGCACCGCATTTATTGGATATTCCCTGATAAAATTTGCATTCAATAGACATTTACATGAGTGATCTCAATCTAAACTTGGAACTTTCCACACACAATCAATGGTTAATCTGAGATACGTCTCAAGACACGACACATGACATAGATCTGTCCTAATTCGTCACCTTGTGATCACATATACTGACAGCATGTGATCTAACCAATAATGGGCTATTTGGTTGGCTAAAAAAAAAAGAAAATCAATTATAAAAAAAGTATTTTATATAATAAGTTATTTTTTTGTGTTTGGTTCACTTTTTAAAACTAAGAAATGAGATAAGATGAGATGAGTCGTCATCATGTTATTAGATGATGTGATTTATTTTTAAAGAAACTCATTTCATGACTTTTTTTTTTTTAGGAAATGAATGGAAATTAACTTTTAATAGAGTTTTCTTATCATATTTCCTTTTCTTTGATTTTAGGAAATCAACCAAACAGGCGCTAAGTGGCCCATCAAGCTCTTTCATCACTGACTAAACATATGAACGAAACCAACAAAAGACACTAATAGTTAGCTCATTTCACACAATAACTTCCATCGAGTACTCATTAGATAGAAAATTTTTAAGAGAACTTACGTTGCATATATAATTTTATTTTATTAATTTCACTGTAATGACAGAGAACCGGACGGACAAGATCACGTACATTCCGGGCGTGGACGAAATAGAACCATCAGATCTCATGTCATATCTCCAAGAATCCGATACGTCTTCGACCGTACACAAAATTATTTTCAAGGCGTTTGACCAAGTTCGCGGTGCAGATTCTATAATATGCAACACGGTGCAAGAGCTCGAGCCCAAGACGATATCAGCACTGCAATTAGAGAAGCCATTCTACGCGATAGGCCCCATTTTGCCCGAAGGCTTCACAAAGAGCAAGCTCAAGACTAGCCTGTGGACGGAGTCAGACTGCAACAAGTGGTTAGACTCGAAGCCAGTAGGCTCGGTGTTGTACGTCTCGTTCGGCAGCTACGCGCATATCAGCAAGAAAGAGCTGGAGGAAATAGCTCTAGGGATCGCAGACAGTGAGGTTAACTTCGTATGGGCTTTGAGACCGGATACGGTCAGCTCAATTGATCCGGATCCGCTACCAAAGGGGTTTGTAGATGATACTAGAGATAGGGGATTAGTCGTGCCATGGTGTCGTCAAATTGAGGTGCTTGGTCATAAATCCGCTGGAGGATTTTTGACACATTGCGGATGGAATTCGATATTGGAGAGCATACGTTGTGAGGTACCATTGTTGTGCTTCCCGCTTTTAACCGATCAGTTTACAAATCGGAAATTGGTCGTTCGGGATTGGACGATTGGGATCGATCTTGGTGGAATTGATACTAATGTGAACAGAAGAGATGTATCAAAGAAAATTGGCAGGTTGATGAAAGAAGAGGAAGGAAATGAGATGAAGCTTAGGGTTAAGGAGGTGAGGAAAACACTTGAAAGTGCAATTAGTCCGATTGGTTCTTCACAAAAGAACTTCGATAGCTTCATTGAGGTCATGATGACGAGGTCAAGGAGCATGGCGAAGTAGAACGATGTATCGTTTATTGGTATGTTATTTGCACGTTTGTATTCTTCATTGTATTGTGTAATGATTCGTACGCTGTAATGCTTCCTTTGAGTCACTTTTTTTTTTTTGGAAAGTCCTTTGAGTCACATTTATTTCTGCATCATTGTATAATTGACATAAGTAGTGCTTCAAATGGAAATTACCTTTATAAATTCGATCCTTTTCAGTTGAAACCCCCCAATTCAAAATGAATGATTAAGATCACACCCTTTGATGAGGTGTTTTGATAGGATTGATACTTCTAGTTTTCTTCCAAAAAGAATATAAAATAAGTTACTCTATAGGAGCAAATATTGGTTTTATTCTTCATATCGTATTAATTAACGGATGTAGCATCTAGACATGACAGTTTTAATACACTTGACGACACTTTTTTTTTTTGACCAAATTGACTCAAAGAGACATATCTTATTTGGGTCCTGAATTCATGTATTTGAACTGTATATTTATCTATTATTTTTTAATGTGAGATTAAATCCCATCTCATATTTATATTAAGGAGAAATTGTATCAAGGCATAAAAAAAAAATTCATGTGGCTCAGCCCCCCTAATTATTTCTACTGTGTATTGGCCCCTAAAATATATTTACCCAAGTTACATATTTTACCCCTTTTTTATTCTCCACCCAAAAATCTCATCATCTCCTCTCTCCCTCCTCTCTCCTAACCCACTATGCTGCTACTACTCCCTCCTTTCCTCCTCCTCTCTCCTAACCCTAACCTCTCCTCTCTCCTCCTCCTCTCCTTCTACTCTCTCCTACTCTAACCCTAACCCTCCTCTCCCTCTGATCTGTCATCTCCCTTTCCCGCCTCCACCTCCGTCACCATCAGCCTCTCCTCTCGCTCTTCTTCCTTATCACCGCTACCTCCTACTTTCTCTCTTATTGTCACTGCCTCCTACGTCGTCTTCCGACGCTACCATCTTTCATTATCCCTCAATAAGAAAAGCTCTAGGGTGATTCTCCCGCTCTTTTCCTCTTTCCTTATTATTATTCCTGCCTCCATGTTCTCTTCAATCTGCACTTTTTATCAAAAGACCATAAAAGCTTGGTTTTGTGGCAAAATTGGTGTCGATTTCTTCAATTTAACAATGTGTGTTGGAGAGCGAATGATAGTGAGCTTGATTTTTGGGGCAAATTGGTGGAGCTTGATTTGTTGGGGGTTTTGATGCATTTAGAGATTATTGATTTTTGTGTGTTTCTAATATTGAAAATTTTGACAAATCCGTGTACTTTTTGTTGCTACAAATTTGGTTTTTATGTTTATGATTGTGTTCGTTTAGAACCGCTAACAATGTGTTTGTTGTTTTGCTTCAACTAGCGAACTTGGACTATGTTGAGTTCAATGGTTAAAAAATAGATTAATCTCATAATAAAAATCATGGAATTGTTTATACCTATACAAATGAAACAAAATAGAAGTAGAACTCAATTGAGATGACTATATATTGACCTCATTTTGCTATGTATTGGATCGATGTATCAAGTATATGTTAACTTTAACCATATCCGGTACATATTAACTTATTTTAATATATATTAGGTCATCATATCCAGTACATGTTAACTTTAGCGAATACCTATTAACTATATCTACTACCTGCTAACTTTAGCCAGCACATGTTAACCATATCTGATATATGTTAACTTTAACAATACCCGTTAACTATTTTTGATACATGTTAACTTTAGTCATTACATGTTAACCATATGTAGTACTTATTAACTTTAGCCAACATTTGTTAACTATATATCGTACCTGTTAGCTATACTCAGTACATGTTAATTATATCCAGGACCTGTTACTTTAGCCAGTACTCGTTAACTATTTCCAGTACAAAGATGATTCTACAAGCAGATTTTACTCATCTTTAAGCAAAAGAAGACAAATAATACAACCCAAATGTGCATATATAATAACAATGGATTCTAGTTGTTTGCTTCACTCTTAACATTGCTACAAGACATGCTATTTACAACTTTATAATCCCACTGCAATCTACCATGATAATCCTAACCCATAGCCTATTCGATGAAATTGTAAGCATTTTAGTTATTAAGTACAAGTATTTCAATTATTGAAAGACTCGACGATATTAGAACTAATGTGAAAATATATAAAAACATTTAACAGGTACTGGATATAGTTAATAGGTACTGTCTAAAGTTATCAGATACTAGGTATAGTTAATAGTTACTAGCTTAAGTCAATAGGTGTTGGATATAGTTAACAGGTAATGACTAAAGTCAACAAGTACTGAATATAATTAACAAGTGCTGGTTATAGTTAATAGATATTAGATATATTTAACAGATAATGGCTAAAGTTAATAAGTAGTAGATATACTTAACAGGTACTGGCTAAAGTTAATATGTACCGAATATAGTTAATAGATATTTGTTAAACTTAACAGGTACCTGATATTGTTAATATATAATGGGTGAACGTAACATTAAATAGATAAACTTAACATGTAATTGATAAACTAATATTAGGAGTCAAACTAAGTGTCAAACTAAGTGTCATTAATGTTTTCAAAGTTTTAAACGTGCAGAGATCTAACACATCATCTCTCTTTGGCATTTCATCAAATAATTTACAAGCAATCTCCAAACTGCCATATATCATATACCCACTTACTACTCCAAAAAATCAAGTTGAGGATGGTGGTGAGCTCAAGGAGGAGATACTACTCCATATAACATGTTCCTGTTAAGTATCACAAGCACATGTTAATTATAACTCGTTCTTGTTAAGCATCACATGTATATGTTAACTATAACAGGTACATATTAACTATAGACTGTTCTGGTTAAGTATCACGTATAACTGTTAATTGTAACTTGTACCTGTTAAAAGTAATTTATAATTCATATATTGGATAATTTCTCATCACCTACTAATAAAAAAAGTAAACAAATATTAGAGCTAACATGACCATATATAAAAATATTTAACAGTTACTGGGTATATGTAACAGGTACTAAATAAAGTTAACAGATATTAGGTATAGTTAATAGATACTGACTAAAGTTAACAGATATCAAATTTAGTTAATAGATACTGGTTAAAGGTAACAGATATTAGGTATAGTTAATAAGTAATGGATAAAATCAGTAGGTAATGGATATAGCTAACAGGTACTGGCCAAAGTCAACATGTACTAAATACGATGACCCAAAACGTAATGAAATGAGATCAATGGACAATCATCTCAATTGATTTCCTCTTTAATGTTATTTCATTTGTATAGATATAAACAATTCCATTATTTTCATAATGAGATCAATCTATTTTTTAACTATTGAATTCGACATACGCTAAGTTCTCCTGTTGAAACAAAACAAAAAACACATTGTGTACGGTTCCAAAAGAACACAATCATAACACTTAAAAACATCTTGCATTCATAAAAGTTGTGCCTAACTAGTCCCATAAGTAGTTCATCAAATCACATTAACTTCATCAAAGATATAATCAAAATTTTCATTTTTGATGGCACATCTCATAGCATTTCCTCAAATATTTGGCCTTCAAAAATTTTAGCCCAAGTAATATCATTTTAACATGCAAGCCAATCACCCACCTCACGAGCATTTCAATAAACAACACATATGTCTCAAAACCCTAGTTATTCTTCTCCTTCTCCTTCATTACCTACTAGTTATGTGCCATAACGTTGGCCTTCATCTCCTAGCCACCTTCTACACCTCTTGCATACCACCCTCTATTACTAAATCCATCAATACCCCCTCCTGATATCTCTTTATCTGCCCTCACCATGGACCTCATTGGCTTGATGAGCTCGACCTCTCCTTCCTTCTCTCCTATTCCTGCTCCATGTTCCTCTTTATCCATCTCACTGACCGTCTCTCTTCCTCCTCTAAACATTCTCAACATTTGCCTAAGACAAGGGGGTCAGAGGGTGCGCTCGAGGATGGTGGTGGTGGAGGGGGAGGCGGGAGAGGGAGATGGAGGGGTCGGAGGGCAAGAGGAGTAAGAGGGAGAGAGGAGGAAGGGTAGGGTTAGGGGAGAGGAGGAGGAGAAGAGGACAGGAGAGAGGAGCAATTGTGGCCTCCATGAAAAAAAGAGATAGACAGAGGAGGAGGAGGAGGAGGAGGAGAAGAGTGGTATTTGTAGAAAAATTTTGAATTTTTTTCTTGAAAAGTGTAAATAGGGGCTGAATCATATAAACCCAATGTATTTGGGGTCAATACGTAAAAAATAATATGGAGGGCTAGGCCACATGAAAATTTTATTTTTAAAGCATTGACACAATTTTTCCTTATATTAATTGCATGGATTCAAGATATTTTCAATGGGAACAAATCCTATCTTCTGCATTAGTTTGAATACATGATAACCTATATGCTTAGAATCATCTAGAGTTCACTAAACATCAACTACATGCGCGCATCACAAACAAAATAGAACGTCAGTCGTCTAACTATCAAACTTCAGCTTACGTAGTCCTTCTTTGTGATCCTTCCGGGAATCTTTACAATTATCATTTTAGCATGCGGTCCTCTTTCCATGGCATCAAGCGATTCTTTTTCCAAGTTCCATTAATTTTGAGCCTGTTTGGTTCATTTCCCACTTTTAGTAGAAATCTCATTCTATGAAAAAAAACTCATTTATGGGGTTTTTTATTTTTATTTTTATAGTTTTCTTAGAAATGAATTTCTGGTATTTGGTTCGCACAAAAAGCATGGGCGGAAATCAATCTCCACATGAAGCTCTCGTTTGGTAGGTATATAGACATATGAAAATATATAATTGGTTAAAATTAAGTTTTTCTTGTGACCCAAACTTTCATACATATGTACACACTAAAAAAACTAATTTTTTTTAATCATAAAAAATGTGTCTCCAACCTGTTTCCTCCTCATTTTTTAAAGAAATGAGTGTTCGCCAACTAGCTGATGTGAAGGCCTTTTTTGCAGCTCGTTTCTCTATTTTTATTTGCAAACTAAACCCATAAATGAAAAGCTCAAACTCAAATTGCCTTGTTAGATGGAATTGTCAGAGCTTGGAAACTAGAAAGTGGTTTTAAGCTAACCATACAGCCCATTATGTTGAGGTTATTAATATTTAAGCATATTTCCACATTTGATACGATAAAAAATAGTAATGAGTTTAAAATAAGAG